TATTAGGTAATTATTGGTCCAATTATTATTATTATTATTGGTCCCAATTTCAAATTGTTTATTATCAGGTACCGGTTTCGGCCAATTTGGCCTTCATCAGCCCTACGTCAAGACAATTTCACATTAAAATACTTTACAAACTTTACCATTACACATCAAATTACATATGAAATTAAAATTAAAAACAATTAAAACTCCCCTATTCGTTTACTCTTGCTGTCAAATTTCTGTGCTAATTTTTATGTATTTAAAGAATATTTTTATTTTGTTACGTTAATAAGTTGTCTTAATGAGAAACATTTGTGGTTTAAATTAAAAGAAAGATCATAATTTTACAGCAGGTTTTTCAAAATTTGGTTCACCTCTCCCGGATTTACCCTATTTTCAATATGTATTTGCAAAAAAAACAAAAAAATTGTTTGATAGAGACAAATATGCTTGGTTTACATTTTGCTATTACCCATACATCATTTGCTTCCAGAAAATAATAATTAGTATAAAAGAAAGTAATATAAAAAATGTGATCGTATTTTGAGAACGAAATTTTGTTTTGTTTTTGGGTTATGCGATTTTTTTTTTGTTAAAATTGCAATTTATGTGAAAGATTTTTTTTGAAAAACTTAAATATAAAGCAGGTAGTTGTAATTCTTAGATCATAAGCTTCATGAGAAAAATGGTTTTATAGTGGGTTGCCATTTAAAAAAATAAACTCAAATCAAAAATTTTATTCTTGATAAAACATCACATTTTTATAGAATTTTATATTCATTATTTTATTAAAAAAATAAATAGTTTAAACAAAAAACGTTTGGTTCCATACTTTTTATTCACCTGGTATATGTTTTAATTTCTTCTCTTTTACATTTCCTTTTTTGCATTATTAGTACTCGAATTTCAATTAGACAAAATTAATAAGAAAAAACTTACCTTATATTTTATTTGACTTACCTTTTGTTTACTTATAACTATTTCACTGTTACACGTGTTTCAAAGTTCGCGCTCTTATGCGCCTGCCATCTTTTAACACTGATTTGAATTAGTATTTGAATTTGAATAGAGAAAAATTGCTGACTTTCCCGGGGCTGGAAAGCGGGACCTTATGCCGCTGAGCCACCACCGCCGCCGATAATCTTTATTTATGTTTTAATGCAATATATTCATGCATACAAAAATTTTCAAAAATTTATTTCTCACATTTCTACAACGTTTTATTCACATTTTAAGTTTCGTAGACTCTTATAGATGCATTTAAATTACCCAAATCGATGTGTTCAGTTTTTTCGTTTTTTGTCAAAATTTGGTCGGTGTAATACTCGTACTCAGCTAATAACTCCGAAACTATTATTAATAGCACTTTGTGTTTGTTATTGTTGGAAAGAAGATTACCTTTTGCGATAGTTATAAAGAAAATCGATAGTCCAATATTCATACAAACACAAAATTTTGCAAAAATTTATTTCTCGCGTTTTATGCACTTTTCTGAGTCTCTTAGACGGTTAGACTCCTATAAGCGCATTTGAATCAATTTTTAAGTTTGTAAATTTTTCGATTATTGCCAAATTTTGCTCGATTCTTGATACCATCAAAAACCGCTTTGAGTTTGTTATTGTTGGAACGAAAATTAAATTTTCTATCTTAAAAAAAGATTATTGTTCTGTGTGATAAATTATTATTGAGAAAATCGTTAGTAAAAACAAAACTTGTTTAAAAAACTCGAATATAGGTTCAAATATTTTCGTTTTGAAAATAAGACTAGACAAAATTTACAATAAACGATTTTTTAAATTTATTTCTTATTTATTCTTATTATTACCTTTTGTTTATATTTTATTCTACTTATCTTTTGTTTACTTCGAGCAAATATCTTTTTGAAATCGTCAAATGGACAAAATAAGCTTTAATATGACCAAAATTAAATTTTCTATCTTAAAAAAGATTATTGCCAAATTTTGCTCGATTCTTGATACCATCAAAAACCGCTTTGAGTTTGTTATTGTTGGAACGAAAATTAAATTTTCTATCTTAAAAAAAGATTATTGTTCTGTGTGATAAATTGTTATTGAGAAAATCGTTAGTAAAAACAAAACTTGTTTAAAAAACTCGAATATAGGTTCAAATTTCGGTTCAAATATTATCGTTTTGAAAATAAGACTAGACAAAATTTACAATAAACGATTTTTTAAATGTATTTCTTATTTATTCTAATTATTACCTTTTGTTTACTTCGAGCAAATATGTTTTTTGGAATCGTTAAATGAACAAAATAAGCTCTAATATGACCAAAATAGTCCGTAAAGTAGTACTTTTCAGGACTCCTATTTCAAAAGTAAAGTAATGCAATTTTTTAATCATTTTTTAGACAGAACTTAAAGTTGTGCACAGAAAATTGTCTTGTTTCCCTAGTGTTTTATTTTTATTTTTGTGATTTTTAGTGTTCGTTTCGGTGAGATAAATCGCGTGTTATATGGCGTGTTGGACAGGTGTTTTACCGAGAAGCATTACCGATTTGGCTGTGTCGAAGTGTTTTAAAGCGTGGTCAAGACTTTGTAGCTTTCGCAAAGGTCCTCGCTGTCTCGCAGTGAGATAAGAGCGCGTTCGAAGAATACGAGCGTGGTCCTGTAACAAGGATACAATGGCCATCATCATTAATGATATCTCTATCAGATGGCAGGTGGCAGTGACGGTCAAAGGTCATGCCGAGGTCTAAGCGGCACCTTGAACATCGCCTGGAATCTGTGGTCTCATTGTGTTATTGCATTACTTTATCACGACGAGTTTATCTAAGAAAAGTGAGAAAGTTTTTATGACGCATCTCGACGAGATATTGATTGAAAGCGAATCCCGACTCTTATTTTAGCCCTCATTGATTTTGATTTCCTTCAAGAGACTATAAATCCGAAGCGAATAAACAAATTTCGAAAAAATCGGATACATGTGAAAGAAACCACGTTTTTTTCTTCCCTTTGTAATAAATTAGCGTGATCGGAGACAAGGCTCAGGACCTCCACTCGAATCCTTGGAGGCAATCACGGTGATGTATCTATTTGTCAAAGCAGAGTCGGCCGGCCGAAGAGCAATTGCGGTCTCTTTTTATGTTTCCGGTCCACCGGAAGTTCCGCTCGGCTACCGGTCGATATATCTACGTGCAGTTGCAGATTAACTTCCTGTTTCCGCTGTCAAGATTCGTGTTTTAATGACCCGATTTTTTACCAAAATAATTGCCAAGCTTCAATAAACTTGGACATTCTTTAATTCTGATGGGATTCGCGACAGGAAACCCCAATTTTTACCATTTCCGCTTCTTATCTAACGTAATCGACACAGGTGGACGTGAGAAAATTACTCAACTTATGGAAAAGTAAAAAAAAAATATTAAAACAGCACATTTGGAAATGTGTTTGATGATGAGTCGGCAAAACCCAAAAGTGTGGTTTAACGGTTGAGTGGGTTTGGAAACCAACGATTTGTTAATAATTCATATTATGGAAGGAAAAAGACTACAGCCACCAAAAATACAAAAACTCATTTTTTTTATTCGAATTAATTTTCAAAATCATTTTTTTCATTTGGAGAGGCTTGAAGGAACTTTATTTTTTACTAATTTACTACCACAACACACAATAAAAGTTTTAGTGAAGGTCTTTAGAACTTCGCCTAGACGATAGCCCAAGAAATGTTTGGACATTTAAATTATTTTTTAAACTCAAAATTTGTGGCTTTGGTTTGAAGCAAATTTATTTTTTACCGAATTCATAACACAACGCACTAAAAGTATCAAAAAATTTCGTAAAGACTCGTAGAACTCTGCCTAGAAACTTGTCCCAGATATTTCTGAATTTTTTTTGTTATTTGAATTAATTTTTGAAATTAAAATTTTTGGATTTGGATATGTTTGAAGCAACTTTGTAACAAAATACACAAAAAGCACCAAAACAAGTCAGTGAAGACTACTGAAACTTCAACTAGAAATTAAGGAATTCCTGAAAATCCTTTTTTGAATTTCAATTAATTTTTGAAATCGAAATTTTTCCTTTGGATAGGCTTATCTTTTTACCAAATTCGTAATACAACACACAAAAAGTATCAAGGTATCCTATATTCTGGATAAACGTATCAAAACAATTTAGTAAAGACTCATAGAACTCTGCCTAGAAGCATGTCGCAGATATTTCTGAAATTTTTTTGTTATTTGAATTAATTTTTGAAATCAAAATTTCTGGATTTGGTTATGTTTGAAGCAACTTTGTAACAAAATACACTAAAAGTACTAAAATAAGTCAGTAAAGACTTCTAAAACTTTACCTAGAAGCTATGTTAAAAAAATCTTTTTTTTTTTAATTAATTTTTGAAATCAAAATTTTTTGCTTTGGATAGGCTTGAAGCAACTTTATCTTTTTACCCAATCCGTAACACAACACACAAAAAGTATCAAAGTATCCTAGATTCTGGAACTCCGCCTAGAAGCTTGTCTCAGATATTTCTGAATTTTTTTTCTTATTTGAATTAATTTTTGAAATCAAAATTTTAAGATATGTTTGAAGCAACTTTGTAACAAAATACAGTAAAAGTACCAAAACATGGCAGTGAAGACTTCTAAAACTTCACCTATAAACTAGCTTAAGAAAAGCCTGAAAATCCTTTTTTTATTTGAATTAATTTTTGAAATCAAAATTTTTGGCTTTGGATAAGTTTGTAACAACTTTATCTTTATACCAAATTCGTAACACAACACACTAAAAGTATCAAAACAATTCCTAGATCCTAGAACTCCGCCTAGAAACTTGTCCCAGAAATTTCTGAAAATACATTTTTTATTTGAATTAATTTTTGAAATAAAAATTTTTGGATTTGTGTAGATTTGAAAAAAGGAGTAAAAGTACCAAAACAAGTTAGTGAAGACTTCTTAAACTTAACCCAGAAGCTAGTTTAACAGATTCCTGAAAATATTTTTTTTATTTGAATTAATTTTTGAAATCAAAATTTTTAGCTTTGGATAGATTTGAAGCAACTTTATTTAAAAAAAATTCTTAACACAATACATTAAAAGCTTCAAAACAATTCAATGAAGACTTCTAGAGCTCCGCCTTGAAGCTAGCCCAAGAAACTCCTGCACATCGCTTTTTGAGCCCAAAAAAAGTGGCGTTCTCTCATGCAGTTCAGTCGGTTTGATCTCCAAAATGCTTTCACACCCGTTTGTAGCAAGCCCTCCAGCTTGTTCCACGATAAAAGCCATGGGTTTGCATTCGTACAACAACCTCAATTTGCCATGAGGATGCTCCTTAGTTTCTGGATACATAAAAATCCCTCCGTGTCTTAGAGTCCTGTGGACATCTGCAACCATCGAACCGACGTATCTTCCAGTGTAGGGTTTTCCCGATGAGGGATATTTTTTCGAGTGCACGTAACTCCTCACTATATCTTCCCAGTAGGAAGCATAACCTTCATTGATGGAATATGTGTTGCCTTTTTTCGGGATTTTTAAATTATATTCCATCATTACGTACTCCCCGATTTCTGTATCAAGGATAAATGTGTTAACTCCTTCTCCCGTTGACAAAACTAAAGTTGTGGCACTTCCGTATAAAGCATATCCTGCTGCAGTGATTTGATTATCCTCAAACAAGACATCTTGAGCTGTTGGTATATTATCATCGCCTTTATCCATTACCATGAAAATGGAACCAAGAGCAATGTTACAATCAGCGTTGGAAAAACCATCCAGAGGGTCAATAGTAACAATATACTTGCCTTTATGGTCCCTATCAATTTCCAAAGGCTTTGAATTATCTTGTGAGAGTATCACACCGACAGAATACGACGATGTGAGCATGTTGATGAAGACTTCGTTAGCTATCGTTTGTAGTTTTTTCGTTTCTTTACTTTTATCATTTGAGGCGAAAAAATGTGACACTCCGCCTCTCCTAACTAAAGCACTGACTGACTTCGTAGCCATTTGAATCGAGTTGAGGAGTCTTGTGAGTTCACCAGTGGCTTGCCAAATGCGATTTTCTTCAGCAAAGATGAATTTTGTGAGAGTGGTAGTGCTGGGGTCCACGATACGCGAACTCGAAGTCATTTTTGACGTTTGAAACGAGAAATCTGGATTTTTGTCGTCGTCTGCGTTGATTGACAGTAATAAAAAATCTACCCAATGTCAAAAAAATTAGAATCTGTATACTTTGGTTTGAAACCTTGATAATTTTTTGTATATAGAAATTTAGTTTGGTGTTTTATGGGTTGTTTAATATTTTTTTTGTCACATAACACAAGAACAAAACAAAAAACACTCTAATTTTTATTAATTTATAGTTTCTGAAGACAAATGATTAAAAACGCTTGATTCCGAACTTTTTGTTCACCCTGTACATCAGAACATAAGCAAAAATAAACAATTTAGAATTTATGAGACAGTGGTAGCGCAGAGCGCCACCTGTCGGTGTGTGGAGAATGGCGTAGTCGCTTTAAGACTCCCGAGGCCACATCACACATCGAGCTACACTGCACTGATGAGCCCCAAAAGGGCGAAAACGGTCTGCAGTTTGCTCGATGTATGATGTGCCTCTTTTTCACAATTTAGAATTTAGACAAAATGTTCTTCATTTAACATTTTTCTTCCAATTTTAATTTAATAAGAAATTGTTTTGAGGGTGGGATAAAACTTGGTTAACCTTATAATCTTCATCAAGCTTGTAGTTTTATACAGGTGTGCCAGAACTCGCGCCTAGAGAAAAATTTAAAGTAAGCTAAGATACCAGGAACATGGAAAAAATGTTTAAAATTTTGACATTTATTTTATGACATTTGACATTTTTTTATGTCTATTTAATAATACTAATGATCTTGTATGTTTTTTTTTTTGTATTTTTTAGGTAAAGGTGCCAATAAAAACCACAAATATCATTAAAAGGAGTTACAATTTAGGATACAGCTTCCTTGTTTCTTCTTCGAATAGCCTGTAGCAAAAAACTTGAAAAATGATCTTTCCAACAGAAATAAATAGAATCAGAGTGCATAATTTAAACTCTCATAACTTCGAATTTTTTTAAGATTTTTTCCATGTTCCTATAGTTTATTTTTTTTAAGAACGAAGCGTTGCATGAGGTAGGGAATAAAATTGGCAAATCAGGTTACTCTATTTTGCACCACGTGACAAGCTTTATTTACATTGAATTATAATTACCAAATAATTTTTAAAAATCTCTAATCTTTGACATTATTTTTGAAATATGTCATAATATTTTAAGATAAAGTGTCGTTTGTTGGTGTACGATTTCAGCATTTTGGTGTAGCATAAGAACAGAACAACAACCTGGTTCTTTTGTAAAAAAAAAATTCAAGGGAAAAGCCAGTTAGTAGTGGTCAGAAAATAATGATACATAATATCTACGCGAAATTTATTTTTTTATTTATTTTTCTTGAGTAGGAATAGAAACAGGATGTTTCGACCGAGAACGATGTTTTTACTAATTAGGTAAGTACCTAATTCAAATGAATAAGTTGTGGATTATTACCTTCGACCACTTCTAATGAATGCAAGATTTCATTGCATTTGTAACAAAGGATTAGGTTGTTGTTTAGCTATTATGTATTCCAAAAGAAAATTTAAGAGTCCTTTTTTATGTTCTTGGTTTATTTTTAAGTAAACGTAAGATTAATCGAATGTTGTTCTTAATTGAATTTGTAGACACTAATTTATAATAAAATGCCAAAAAACAAATAACATTGAAATTTTCTTCGTTTTTAAAATTACCCCTCTACAATAGGCGACCAATTTTACACAATTCTAAGAATTGTATTGTGTAAATGTGTACTTCGTTCTAAAAAAACACACTATAGTATCTTACCTTATATGGCATTTTTTTCGGGGGCGCGAGTTCTGGCGCACTCTGTACAAATCAAAATTCACCGGTTTTAATTTTTTTACTACAAAAATAAGTATTACAGTATAAATTCTTTTCGTGTTGATTTTTGTTAACTTCTTGCGGCTGCATTAGAAGTCGAATTCTTGCGATGTCTGGCATTTGGTCTGTCACGGCGATTAGCCGGTCCGATCGTTCCAATAAGCACTTTTTTCCTGTTTTGTATCGTCGGTATCAAGTAGTTTTCGATTTCCACACGGTGCGATGTTCGCACCTCCTGCTGCGCCTCTTCGTAATTACCGACTGGCGCGAGTGATTGACGATGATGTCTACCAGAGCTGTAGTGCGAGAAGGCCGATCCAGGTCCTTCAGCACCTCCGTTAATTAATGAATTAAAAACAATGGAAGCGTATCGTGACATGTGTGAGACGTCACCTGCGATGATGGTGTTAGAGTCCTTCGACCAGCTGTCGGCTTACTTTTAATTGATGATGGTGTGCCAAACGCCGAGTCATCGGCAGAAGGTTGGAGTTTCACACCTACCCATAATCTAACCGTAACCAGAACAACTCATCACACTGTTTGGTGCTTATTTAGATCGAAGAGATACGAAATGTATCATCCGCGAGTTATTTCAAGACTCGCGAGGGACGATTTTTACAGTTTTGACTTCCTGGACGACATCTGTCATCCCACTTGAAACTTTCTAACAGAAAGTGTGTAATTTGATTGACCATATTCGAGGTCTTCGTTGATTAACAGTAGTATAAAGTCTATCCAATCCAAACCAAAAGAAACTGTAATTACACAAGGCGACAAAAAAAAGTCATGTCGTGACAACTTGACAAATTTTATATCATTTTGTTCGTCTCAGTGAGACAAATCAAATGCACTAAAAAAAAATTTCAAAAAGTCCACACACTTTGAACTAATTAATTTTTTTTTCTAATTTAAATGAATTTAAAATACTTTAACTTTAAAAAATCATTACTCAATAACTATTAGGCCGATTTTCTTCAAATAAAGTCCATTCTAAAGAGATGGACTTGCCCTTTAGAATGATATGCAATTTGAGATTGAATATTGGCAAACTTTTCTTCGAACACTGTTCGAAGTAAATCGAAATAATCTAAGAAAAACCCTACGAGTAACTTTTTTTTTCATCATTACCATCGTGTAGAGCATATCTTTATTAGTTATGGTTTGCTAATCTGCTAGCAGTTTAAAGCAGTAGCTTTAAATATAATAACAAATCTTTTTCAAATTAAATTGCTTCCATTCGGATTCTAACTTGTTCAATTTGTTCTAGCTTTCTGAACTTTTTTTTGAAAATGTTTTCAGCAAATGCTTTTTCATCACTTTCTACTGATGTTGAATGCAATAAGTCAGTTGCTTCGTGTTCAACTGTTATCACAACAACTACTATCTACCAGCTAACTGAAGGTAATCGTAGAATGTACCAACAAAATAAATCAGGTGACTTATTGCATTTAACATCACTCGAAAGTGATGAGAAAGCATTTGCTCAGAACATTTTCAAAAAAAGTTCAGAAAACTAGAACAAAGTGAACAAGTCGAAATCAGAATGAAAAGTGATTTGATTTGAAAAAAATTTGCCCTTATATTTAAGACTCGTGCCTTAAACTTCTAGATCCTCTTTGCTCAATGATCAGTGGTCATTTTTACAACAAAAAAACTCTTTATTTGCTTTAATTAGTACGCAGGTACTCTTTGTTTGTTTTAAGTAAAGAAACAGTTTTTGTTTATTCTAATTAGAACAAAGAAGGTGCAATTGACCATTTTTAAGCAAAAGAAGAGTCTTAAAACAAATACTTTTATAAAAATGCAATTTTAAATAAGATTAACATGCATTTCTCCTATATGGAGCAATGCTTGATTAGCAAACCTTAACTTCAAAAAATCATATCTTGAAAACTACTTGGTATATTTTTTTGAAAATTTGGATTACAACTAATAAAGAGATGCTCTACACGATGGTAATGATGAAAAAAAAAATTACTCGTAGGGTTTTTCTTAGATTATTTCGATTTACTTCGAACTTCTTCGAACACTGTTCCAAGAAAAGTTTGCCAATATTAAATTTCAAACTTTATATCGTCCTAAAGGGCAAAGCCATCCCTTTAGAATGGTCTTTATTTGAAAGAAATCGGCCTAATAGTTATTGAGTAATGATTTTTTAAAGTTAAAGTATTTTAAATTCATTTAAATTAGAAAAAAATATTTTGTTCAAAACGTGTGGACTTTTTGAAATTTTTTTAGTGCATTTGATTTGACTTACTAAGACGAACAAAATGATATAAAACTTGTCAAGTTGTCACGACATGACTTTTTTGTCGCTTTGTGAAATTAAATGTGACAATTATTGACATATTTAATCACACAACCGATCTACTTTTTCAACTTAAGAAGCACAGTATCAATAGTATCATTGTTTCAGATTTTACATTATAATTCTTAAAATGCCAAGTATTCAAACTTGCTGTGTTCCAAACTGTGATCAAGGGGAGAAAGAGGATGTTACTTTACATTGATTTCCAAAAAGTAGAAATCAAAAGAACGAATGGATTAAGAGAATATTTGGTACCATCAGCAATATACCCCCAAATTCCGTGATTTGTGGAAAACACACAACAAATTTTTTTGTTCACCTGGTGTAATGAGCAAAATTATTATTAAATTTCAGGAATTTTTATTGGCATTTTGTTATTGAAGTTTATTTTTTCATAAAATATAGTAGAATCGTAAAATTCTTATTAGGGTTTTGGATTTTTTGTGAATTTTTGGATTTATCACTACAGGGTGCGCCAGAGAAAAATGTCAAATGCCGGGGGCAATAGGTCGCCAAAAAGTGCAGCCGAAGAAGTAATTTTTGCTTGCATAAGAAAGTTATTAGACTCTTAAATCCACCAATCCCAGAAGGGCACCTCAGGGTGTGGTTAAAAAATTATATCTGTTGCTAGGTTACGTAAATAATATCAATTTACCCAGAATTTTAAAAAATAGCTGGTCTACTGTAATTTTGAGTTTGACATTTATTAATTTTCGTGATGTGGGTGACATAACCTGCTAGTTTCCAGTATTTTTCTCGCTGAAGAGGTTGGACACGAGTATAATGAGACAGAATCGTTAATTATTATCAACAATTACAAAAAATATTTTGAAACATTCTGGAAATTCCTGATGAACCGACTTCTCTAAAACTTCTTCACAGATATTGTTACTTCTCAAATAAAATGAATAAATGAATTTTAGAGCTTGAAAACTAGTGCATTATCCTTATGAAACAAAGAAGCAAGTGAGAGTGAGGGACCAGAAAAAACTTGAAGAAGTACGCAAGTTTCTTTATCCACTTTAATACAAAATTAACAGAAAGATGTACTTTTGAAAATTTAAACTTTGGTGGACAACCACTTTCTTTTTTCTAATTTGAAATTTTTTCTGAAACAAGCTTAAGACTGTTTTAAAATTATTTTACAATATTTTTTAATTCCTCTTTATTTCTTAGATTTTATATAAAAGTCTCAAAAAATGTTGAAATTTTAAAGTTTGGTGGACAATGACTTATATTTACCTAATTTGAATTTTTTTCCTAAAACAGGCCCCAAAAACGGTTTTAAATCTATTTTAGAATATCGTTTAGTTACTCTTTATTTCTTAGATTTCTTGTAAAAGTCTCTAAAAATGAGAAAACTTGTGTGTTGAAAATTTAAAAAGTTTTTTTTCCCCAATTTTATTTTTTTACAATATATTAGTTTCTCTTTATTTCTTGGATTTTTTGTAAAAGTCTAAAAATGAGAAAACCTGTGTGTCAAATATTTACAGTTTTTTAACTAAGATTTATTTTGCATCATGAGGGGGCCGCTCCGTTCTCGAAATCGGTAATTACACCACAATTAACATTCCCGTTGTGTCGCAGTTTACGAGCCGCCTCTGTCCGCCTCGACTAGTTTGTTGCACCTTGTTAATAACGCTGACTTTGCATATTGCTAGGCTTTCTGTGGCGGGTTCTTGCCTTGCTGCACGTTTCAGGAACGCCATTAAATGCTGTGCATATGGCATATAGGTGCGAGGAGACCGCCGCACGTTTAATTTTCACATTATCGTTTTTTTTCCCTCCTCTCACCTTCATCATCCATCGCCTCTCACAGCCAATATCATTTAGAAGGTGATAATTAGTAGCTGTGAGATTTTTCGGTCATGCGGGGAAATGGAAAAACAACGACTTAAACGGGGAATTATTGTGATTTTTTTCTTAATACTGGATTGTGAGGTTTCTACGAACTGGTTCGAAGATGATTTGCATAACAAAAAGCAGGAAGAAAATAACGCGGTGAACGGGTCGAATAAGACTGCTCCTGCTTGCTGAAAAGGGTGAAGGTTAGGTTTATTTTAGATGGGGGAACTGTGATTTCACTTTGTACGAGTATTTTTAGATTGGTTTGAATAATTTCAGCACTGATACGCCAAATGGATTACCCAAAACCAAAATTTTGAATCCAGACTAGGTTTCTTTGCAAAAAACAACCAAAACAAGAAATATCTCATATTTCAGTGTAACAATTTCTCTTTTTTTTCAGATTGCTGTTTTGTACCAAAAAGGAATTTTGGGATAAGAGGTGGGTAAAAATGTGTTTTCTTATAATATTGGTGCAGTTAGTAGGATTTGCGAAAGTATACAGGCTGTAAGTATTGGGAGTTCTAACAGTGGTAATATTTATCTAAAATTTTGACAATAGTCATAATCGTTTAGAACTTGCTCAATAAAAATATTTGCAAAATACACCGGAAATGGGTATCAACTTTGTTATATTAAATGGAAAGTTATGTTTTTTACTGCGTTTTTGGATTACTCAAGTGATTTTGAGAGAGTTTTTATCAGACTTCTCTATACTTAATTTAAGCGTTTTTAAAATATTTACACTTTTTTCAAATTATTTTAATTCGCATCTTGCTCTCCAGAAATCGATAACTCTACCATTTTTTAATATTGTGAAATCGTATTTGGGCATATGAAAAAGAAAGGTTCGATCTTTTTTTTGTGTATTTATAAATAAATTTTTTCAAATGGAAGGCCCCAATTTTTTCCTTCACCAAATGAAAGAGAATTTAATTCTGTATCAATCTGTATCAACATTCCCCATACCTGAATTTAATGATTTCCAAGTTATTTTAACTTTTTTTTACAATGAAAGAAATTCATTACTATCCATGGTAGTTTTCTCTTAGTTTACCATGGAAATATTTCTCACCAGTTTTTTTTACAATTGTGTTATTTTTTTCGTAAATACAAATTAAATTTATTTAATAAAAAATTGAATAACTTTGATATTCTATTTTTTTCTTATTTCTATGACACCCTGTGCTAAAGTAGCTATGGCTAATGAACATGGGTGTCGTTACAAATTTTTTTAGAAAGGGGCAACCTCATCGCAGTTTAAAAATACATATTTAATTACAAACACAAAAACATGTTATACAAAATTGGAACATAAAACCATATTTTATAAATGAAACCATAAGACAGGGATCTCTAAAACCATAAATTGGAGTATAAAAGTGTAAAAGTTAAAAAAATATAAAAAATATAAAAGTTAAGCATAAAATAACACAAATCAGTAAATAACATGAACTAATAAATAAAGAAAAATGTAACACTTGGAAATCAAAACATAAAATAAAAACTCTTTCAAAATACATTCAAAAAAACAATAATCAATAGAAATTACAAAATTAAAGAAATAAAAGTTTTAAATTCGTTTTTATTAACCAAAATCGTCAATGATAAAAAAGTTAAAAAAATGTTACTTACTAAAAAAAATATTAAAAAAAAACAAGTTGCAAAATGAGCGTGTTTTTTACTACACGTGTGCAAAAACAGCCATTTTGAATCGTGTTTTATACAAGATTTTTTCCAATTTGGTTGTGAAAAGCATAGGCATCAAATTCGAATTTAAAATCTGTGATTTCAATAATTTTCCAAAATTATACTAGGTCGTGGCGTTGCTATGAAAATAGTGTTATTTGTTTTCTTTATGTCACACTTTTTAACACTAGTGATAAAATAATGTCATATTTTATAACTAGTGATAAAATTAAACACATTTGACAACTAAAATGACACATCTAACTGATTGGCTTTTTACAACAAAAGAACTAAATTCTCCTCCATTTATTGAAGAAAAAGTTGTGGTGTTTCATTTAGAAAAAGGGAGTTAAGGGTATTTAAAGTTTCCTAAACGTAACCTTACATTTTGGCGGTTTGTTAATTGTTTTTCCAATTATGAATCTAACCTTTATCGTATACCTAAATACGATTTCAACATAATATAAAATGGTAGAGTTATCGATTTTTGAATAAGAAGATTCAAATTTTAAAAAGGTCTAAATATTTCGAAAACCTAGGGAAAGCTAATGAAAACTCTCTCAAAATCACTTGAGTAATTCAAAAACGCATAAAAACATAACTTTTTATTTAAAATAACAAAGTTGATATCTACTTCCGGTGTAACAGGAAGTGCCGCCATCTTGAAAATATTTTCATCGAGTAGAACCTAACCGATTATGGCTATAGATAAATATTATTGTTAGAACTCCCAATACTTCTAATGTGGGGTTTAGTCGGAACATCCTATAATATTGGTGCAGTTAGTAGAATTTGCGAAAGTATATCTCGTAAGAGAAAGTTTTTTTTGTGAAGCAAAAAATTGTTAATTAAAACATCATTGAAAAGTTTTAGGTATTGTTCAAACAGTTTGTCCAACTTAAACAAATTACAGTATCACATGAGATTTCGATTTTTTGTGAAGGTGATTGTTTTAATAGGCCAGTGGTGCCAACAGTGTGTGTCACACGCTTGCCAACGTGATCAGCGGAAGGCGCTAGGGCATCGACGCACACGTTTCAGTTGATAAGTTCTATATATAGTCGATATGATTGGCATTGGCGGCACGCGTATCAAACTTATCTCAGTGTCGGTGGCGGCGCACCGCGCCGAAAAGAACAACAAGATTTCTGCAACGGAGTCGTATTTTCCTGCGATGGTGGTGTGTAATGTGTAACAATGGCGCTTGTTTGGTCCTGCGAATGACACGGGCCATTGTCGATGTCTTTTGTCGCGTATATTCGCGAGTATCGATTGCGCTGACATCGCTACATTGTGTGCGGAAACAAAACCCTTCTAATGTAAATTTCTATTCAATTTTGATTGTTATCTATCGAGAATTTTCGATTCAAAGAAAGAACCTGTTGAAGCTTCCCCCTTGTGATGACACGCACCGGGACCGCAGAATTTTACACTGATATGATTGTCGATCCAAAGCGAAAGATGCAACAACAACTGATTTGACTCTTTTCTGACACACGTACTTGGGTTTTTACTGTTTCCGGTCTTTAACAATTCTAAATAAAAAAACATTTTTTTGTGAAATACGCCACTGATTGATACTCTTCACAGACTGGGAAAAGAAGAAGGCACAAAGTTTTGTAATAAATTAAATACCTACAATAAATTTTGAGTAAAATTAAAAGAAACTCAGAATTTATTGTGAGAAAACAAATCAAGTGGTGCCCAAAAAAGAAAAACAGAAGGAAAAAACGCAGAATCGGGAAAAGATAAATCAAATAATGCCCAAAAAAACTGATAATATTAAAGAGAAAAAGCAAGACAAAAACTAAAAACTAACAAAAATGTTTCAATTGAAAAAAACTGATTTTAAACTTAACAATTTAAAAAAAAATATATTTTTTTGTAAAATTTGTACGTCTAAAAAATCCTATGGCGCGGTATGTCTCTGCTACAGTTTAGTAGGGGCGTCAGAGAATTTTTAAAAAATTGGGTAAAATAGAAAAAACTTGTGGAATCAGGAAAAAAATCAAGTGGTGCTTAAAAAACTGAATATTGTTAGAGAGACTTAAAAGACAAAAATCAAACAAAAAATGTTTCAATTTGAATTATTTTTTGGGGAAAAAACTGATTTTGTTGTTGCTGTTTTAAAAATTTTTTAGAAGCCGTTTAAGAGACACCATACTAGTCATTTTTTGACCTTTTGCTATTGTTTCTACAAAACCCCGAAAATTTAATTTTAAAATAAAAATTGGTGTTTTTACATATTTTTTAATTTTATAACTAAATGTCACAAATAAAAGTTTTATACAGAGTGTTCGTTTTTCGGGCACTACCTTGGGGATCTCAGTTATTGTAAGAGATACGAGGTCGGTTAAATTAGGGCAAAGTTGCGCATTTTTATGCTGAACAATTATCTGAAAGAAAAATTAAAGTGTCATTTTTAGTTTTTGAATTATTGAAAAAAATTGGAATTTGTAATTTTTGTATTTATTTTTTGAAGCAAAAACTCAAAGACCTAGACGTTTTTAACTAGGACGTTCTTACAAGGAATCTAAATCTGTCATCGTATTTTCCAAGGCACTCTTGATATCAGAGTTACAACACTCAACTTTGGATTTACTTATGGACGCCATATTTGATTTTTGTATTTTTAAAAAGTCTGTTTGTTTCTGATTACAACGATGTATCACATGATATGATAAAATTTTACATGCTGACAAAATTAAGAAAACAAATTTCCGTTTTTTCTCAATAATTCAAAAACTAAAAATGACACATGAAATTTTTTTTTCGATTATTATTCAGGATAAAAATGTGCAACTTTGCCCTAATTTAACCGACCTTGTATCTCTTATAATAACTAATCATGGTAGAGTTCGAAAAACGAACACCTTGTATAAAATAATTTTTATTGGCAAATGTCACAAAAGCAACATACCACTTTTATAACTAAATGTCACAAGAAAAAGTTTTATCTTTGAGCCATAGAGTCAAAAATTCTATTTTTGCGCCTAAGCGTTTTTACTTGTACCATTATTGACATTTCACTTTTTTTTTCGCTGTTTCAGCAATTTCTAGAGATGTACAGCATTCGACATTTGTACTACTAACTGCACTAGTTAAACCTTTCAGCTATAGAGTAAAAATTCTATTTTTGAGCCTAAGCGGTTTTTTATCATTATTGACATTTCACACTGTTTTTTTTCGCTGCGTCAGCAATTTCTAGAGATTCACTACTAACTGCACTAGTTAAAATAATAAACACTCTAGAAAATCTCAACACAAATTCCGATACCGACGCGTGATGTCTGTTAATAAGCGTTGTTATGATTTCATTACTTGATTATTTTGTTTTTTTACTTGCTAATTATAGTCATGCTTTTTACTTTCGATCTGAATGCCTTTGCAGAGAAAATAATATTTTATTCGGAGTACTAAAATGTGGCTCAGCTGAAACTATCACTTTTACTACTAACAACATTATGAAAAGCAGAAGTATCTGACGCAAAATTTTGTTTCTTTTGTGATTCAAATGGCATTTTTTGAAAATAAATTAACAAATGTTTGAAACATTTTTTTATTAACTGTAAACTGTTTTGTTTTTATTTTTTTTATTTATCTGTTTAATAAAAGTACAGATTGTCAAATTGAAACTCTTCTCAATAATTTTCTCTCATTTCGTCAATGACACGTTTTTTGTCCAATAGTGCGTCAAGATTTAATTAATAATTTCGTTGTCCGTCAATTTTCTTAATTAAATTGTGATTGTAA